ACATTACAACCAAATAAAGACCTTTTGATCTTTGACTGAACAGCTCGATTAGTAGAGTATTACACGAGGGGCAAGCCTATGGTGTATCTGTGTGGCATGTGAATGTTCTTTGCTGAGAGTGAGTGAATTCTGTCTATCTATGGTTCCTTGTTGCTTAATTTATTGTGTGTGGAACTTCTCTCAGATTTGTGATGTGAGGGCATGTGACTCACGAAGAAAAAGTGAGTTTTCACCTCTGTTAGAGTAACTAGAGTAAGCACGAGTGTGTCATGGCATTAGAGTCTGCATCTGAGTGTGACTGTTGCACTGATTAGGTTATTCTTTCATAATGGCGGGTGTGGCATGAACTTGGGCAATGCATCCAACGGTTAGGCCCAGAAGTGTGGTTTAACTTGCTCGAGGACGAGCAAAGGTTTAAGTGTGGGGTGTTGATAATAGGTGAATTTAACTATAATTAGTCCCTAAAGAACCACCTTCTTGTATAGTTTTGATGATAAAAGTGATAACAAAATGCTCTGATTAGTGCTTTTCATGCTTTGCAGGTGATATATGACAAGAGAAGGCTATGGAGTACTTTTGGGATCAAATATGGAGAAAAAGAGGCCAATCGTAAAATTTTGCCAAGTGAACCAAGCGAAGCAGCACAAGCCAGGCCTGAAGAAGGACTGTCGCGGTTCCACCGCGACCGCGGCGGAATCGCGGTAGAAGACGGTCGCGGATAAGTTGAGATTCAGAGAAGGTGTGTGGCCGCGGTTTGACCGCGACCGCGGCAGAACCGCGGCAGAGGCAGAAAAGTTCAGGGACTTAAGTGCAAAACATGGGATTTTTAGCCCAAAACCTTATTTTAAATACTAGACTTCGCCCAAAGGAGGCAAAGATTGTATTGGAGAATATTTTAGCAAGGAAAACAATTGTGAGAGATCACCCAAAACATCTTTCTTCTTTTCTTTGATTTTTCTTGCAAGTTTTATGATGAATATTGTTTTAGTTTGTTTACCCATAGTTATGAGTAGCTAAATCCTTTGTCTAAGGTTTTGATGGAACCTATTGGGGGATGAACTTCTTGTTTATGTGAATACAAATTGCTAGTTCCAATCTCTATTTGTTCAACTATGTGTTTGTTGTAGTTAATTGACAGGATCCTCAATTAGCCGTGCCTATTTAGTGTGCATAACTAGGGAGAGAGTGCATATTTAGGTAATTGTTGAACAACACCACTCCCAAAGTATATGAGGGATTAATAACCGAGGGTTTAAAGGCGGGATTAGGGATAACGAAGCCTTAGGTGTAATCTAAAGTGAATTGTGTTAAATAAAGCAAGCTAGTGTATCTCGGGAGAGTGCAACTAGTAAATTACTGTGATTACTCGGGAGAGATTTACGGTAAGAAGAGTGTTCATGATTGATAGAGATGTGTTGGTAAATTTGTATGAAGCATAAACAGAAGGAATTCCATCAATAGGGGAAATCATTACCTTAGCACTTTCTCATTATTGTTTACAACTTAGCATCTTTAATTTGTAGCTATTAGTTACTGTTAATCTTAGTTATTAAAAACACCATCAACTGTGATTCTCAACGTTTGGGAAATTGATTCTAAAGAGTTTAGTAGGTCTAAAGATAGTGATTGATAGGTTAATTCTCTGTGGATTCGACTCTGGGCACAATACTCAGGTTATATTTGCAACGTCCGCATTGTCCTTTTTATAAGGCATAGTTGGGTGTGATCAAACTTTAACATAGTAATCGCGTAGCAAGAGATGATAGTCTGTGCCCGCTGAATAATATGAGCAACCCCTACCCTAAGGGAGTTGCGAAGTATTATTTATGTTGCACGGGGTGATCCTTTAGGATAAAAAACTTAGGAACCCCCTTCCTTTTATATATGTTTGCTAAAAGAACTTAGTCATTAAATATAGACCAACGCAGTTGTACTCTCGTAATCTTTAAGATTTGTACCGATTATTCATATAGTGTAATTCTTATGGGTCATAGAACCTTCAACTTCCACATCTTTCTTCACTTATATGATCACCTAGCTTAATTATCTAAACCACATAATGTAAAATTCAATCGGGAATCACAATTGTGGATCTCGAAGAGTTCCTAACACCTTCTTTTTGAGGTAATTTGAGCCTTACCCGATCTTTGATGGCGTAGACTAGTCAAACAGAGTTATTTACAAATAGGTGCCCTAACGCACCTTAAAAATCATTAGGTGGCGACTCTTCTCTTCTAATACCTCATTTAAAAGAGTTGTAACATGTCGAAGTCCGCTTCCGCGAGAAAAAGGGGCGCGACAGGGGGTTCCCAAGGTCACATGAACCCATAATCCCCCCCTTAGATCTTGTATATTAATATTATATTTTTATAAAATTACTTATATATATATGTGTGTGTGTGTGTGTGTGCGCGCGTGCAAGTTCAAAGTATCATATGATGCAATGGTTATTGGGTGCACCTCTCTAAGTGAGCTTATTTGGAGTTAAATCTTATGTCTATTTTGTATTTTTTTCTTCTTGTTTCTAGAATTTGGTGCACCACGAGAGAATGGACATGTTTGGTATCACTTCTTGCGTATTAATTAAGTACTTATATTTCTTTCGTTGTTTGGTGTATTTTTTCAAAATTTTCAAGTCTGACATATATATATATATATATATATATATATATATATATATATATATATATATATATATATATTAAAGGTTGAACCCCTAACTTTTTATATCCTGGATTCATCTTTGTGTAATAGTGCATCTATCTTTTCAGAATCCTGGATCCGTCTTAGTGATAGAGGTGGAATCATTTGGAGTTTGTTAAGTAAAAATGCTGGAAAAAAGATAAAAAGGTAAAAAAGAAAAAAATACGTGTCAGTATATGATAGGCATGTGTAGAACACTTAATATCCTAAAACTGGCTTTACATGTTCTAACGTAGTATTTGTTCCACTAAAAATAATAATAAGATTAGGTGTGAAACTGACTTTTCAGGACAAGTACAGATTCATCATATGTATTTTCCTTATTTATAATCTACATATCAAAATTTTCTTTTTGTTAAAAGTGTATCAAATGATTTTTTTGTTACACATAAGCTCGGTATCTTATTTAGACCGAATGACCGGCAAAGAAACAGCATGGTTTTAGGTGGCGTTTGTTTTAGACTTCATAAGAATTTAATTTGCAAACTCTAAAATAAACGCCAATTGATCAGTTTGAATTATTGCTCTTGATTTCAGAATTGTTTATTGTACCATATTTAGACAATTAGGGTGGGTTTGGTTTTGTCATGTATAAATAAGAATAAAAAATTAATCCCAACATAAAACCCTATATTAATATATTACGTTGCATCATCAACATTTGTGATTACGATGTTTGGTTTTCTAATATAAATTTTCTAATAACTTAAATGAGAATAATATTACATGTATTAGCAATAACAATGTTAAAATAATTCTTGACTTTGATATTATAATCCTTACTTATGTATTATTATTATTTAGTCGTTCACCGCATAAACATTTATGTATTTTAAAATCTCGCAAATTTGCTGCAAACTAAACAAATAGTTTCTAATTAGTTCTGGGAAGAAGAAAAAAGGACATAAGTTATAGTAAGTATTATTTAGGCTTGTAATAAAAAATTATCAAAAAATAAACGTAGAAGCAAAAAATAAAAACGAATCCAAAATGGTCATTGGTCAAAGGCGGAGTTTTGGACAATTGGGAGCTTTTCCCAAAGGGGACTTTACATAACTGTCACAGTTTAAAAGAAATATAATAAATTTTTAGCATAAAAATCAATATTACAAATATGGCAGGAAAATATTTATATTTGTAGCACACAATTCCATTNATTAATCCCTAAACATAAGAAATTTGAATGGAAAGTTAATAATTATTTGTACAAAAATCATGTCTTTTTTTCTCTCTTTATCTATTAGCTTTCCTTCTTTTTCTTCGTCTTCTTAGTTTTGTTTTCTACCGAAGCCAATATATTTTTTAAATTTGTTCCGTTCATTTTATTTTTAATTATCTTTCTTAAGTTTTTCTCTTACTTCTTTCTTCCTTTCTTAACATAAAGCTCTTATTTCGATAATAATATACCTTCATATATACAATACATATATATAAAAATATACTTTGAATTAACACATATAAAATATACAAAAACATATACATAAAAGTTACATCTTCAATTAAGATGACACTTAGACATGTGACATATACACACACACACACACACACATACACACTTGACATATAAAATACAGTATATATTAAAAATACCTCTTAAATTAAGATAGCACTTCACAAATAAATATACAAAAATTATATACATAAATATACATTTTGAATTAAAGTGATACCTGATATACAAAGTATAAAAGATGTATAAATCAATGCATCTTGATTTAGGTGGCATTGAGATATGCAGCAGCTTTTCAAAATATGGAGTGAAGAAGATGAATGTTGTAAAGGGAAAATGAAGATGGATAAAAAAATAAAGTACTTCCCGTAATTAGTGAGTGAGTTAACTTATTAGATGTTGAGCTTAATTTTTATAATGTGCCATTAATGAAAAAAAAGTGCTCTTTATGAAATAAACAATAAATGATGCTATTTTTATAAATAATAGTTAAAAAAGAATCAAGCATGTAAAAAACTCTTTCCCCAAATGAAAACCGTGAATGCCAGCGCGACTCCAACCAGCAGCCACAGTAGTCTTTTGACGGGTCAGGGTCAACCCGTGAAATATGTAAATTTGCAAAAGTCCGCCTCTCTTCAACTCACCTTGCTATAAATAGACCAATTTATTTCTTGTTCCTCCACTGCACCAAAAAGCTCCACAATCAGAGGACCATTAGCTATACATTAATCAGGTACTTTTTCAATCCATATTTGAGTTCCTATATTTAAAAAAATGGTACTGACTTGTTCGAATTTTAGGTATAACTAGGGCTATTGCGTTAAAACATTGACTGTGTGATTGGTTCCAAGTTTGAAATCTTTTTCAAACCTGTTTGTAGCTTTTGCTTGTTTGTATTGTTATTTTTTTCAAAATAGTACTAACTAAAAACTTACCGGCACCCGGTGTTTAGGCCAATCCAAGCAAACATTTATCACTTAATTATGATTAAATGATATGTCTTTTCACTTTAATTTTTAATTGCTAAGCTTAAATTGCTTGGTTTGGTGTAAACTTGGTGCAAGTAAGTATTGTAAGTCTCGAAAAGGATGACGGAGGAAAGCACATTTATAATTCTTGGTATGAATTCGAATTTTTTTTATAAAAGAACTACATAGAATTATAAATCACAACTTTGTAGTTAAAACACCTTTAGAATGTTTGAAAAAGTAGTGTTTAAAGAAAGAATTGTTTGACCAAATATTAAGTAAATACTTTTGGGATTGAGTAAGTACATATTTCATTTGGCGAGACAATTCTTTTTTTTTTTTTTTTTTTTTTTTTTTTTTTGAGAATATTGATGCTAAATTTGAGTTTCAGCAAGCAAATGGATGAGTTTCCCATGAGGATTTATGTCACAGTTTGCTATCAATGCCACGATGAAAATACTTATGGACCGCAAACAAATACATAAATGATACTCCCTGTGTTTCAATTTATGTGAACGTATTTCCTTTTTAGTCCGTGCCCGAAAAGAATGACTCATTTTCATATTTGGAAAAACTTTACCTTTATTTAATGATTTATAACCATATAAAATATATGTGCCTCATTTTACCCCACAAGTTCAAAAGTCTTTTCTTTTTTTCTTAAATTCCGTGCCCAGCCAAATAAGTTCACATAAATTGAAACGGAGGGAGTAATGGAGTATTAAATTTATCACTTTATTTAGTAAAAATCTAGAAATTAAAGCATGAATTTCATCTATAACTTCTAGCTGCATGGTGTTTGGGACTACAAAGTTCCATAAATCTAGTATCCGCGATTCTAGGGCTCTTTTATTTCCCAAAAGATTGCATGGGCATAGAGTCCAACACCAGTATTTCAAGGAATAAAGGAGAATTGCCATTATTTAGTCCCACAAAGTGAGTCCAGCTATGTGTATTTTCGGCCATCTGTCAATTTTAGTTACCTGGATTTGTGTTGCATCAGATAACTAGACAACAAACATGGCCGAGTCAACACGTGAAGAAAATGTGTACATGGCCAAGCTAGCTGAGCAGGCTGAGCGGTATGAAGAAATGGTTGAGTTTATGGAGAAGGTCGCAAAGACAGTAGATGTTGAAGAACTGACCGTGGAGGAAAGGAATCTTCTTTCTGTGGCTTACAAGAATGTGATTGGTGCGAGAAGGGCTTCATGGAGGATAATCTCTTCAATTGAGCAGAAAGAGGAAAGCCGTGGAAATGAAGACCATGTTAGCAGCATTAAAGAATACAGAGGCAAAATTGAGGCTGAACTCAGCAAGATATGTGATGGGATTTTGAACCTCCTTGAGTCCCATTTAATACCAGTTGCCTCAACAGCCGAGTCTAAAGTGTTTTACTTGAAGATGAAAGGTGATTATCACAGGTACTTGGCTGAGTTTAAGACAGGGGCAGAAAGGAAAGAAGCCGCAGAGAACACTTTATTAGCCTACAAGTCTGCTCAGGTTGGTAATCCATAGATTAGCTCTTTATTTCCTCACCTGCTTAATTGCATATAACAATGATTTGAGTTGTTTTATCATTTATGTCTTGTGATCTAGGATATTGCTTTGGCTGAACTGGCTCCTACTCACCCAATCAGGCTGGGACTTGCCCTTAACTTTTCAGTGTTCTATTATGAAATTCTCAACTCGTCGGATCGTGCTTGTAACCTTGCAAAGCAGGTGCCTTTCTCAGCTTCTGTCGATTCGTTTAACTTGGATTATCATCTTATGTTTGATTGATCGATTGTGCTTAGGCTATAAAACAGTGAGATATTTGTTCTAATTTTAAATTGCATGTGGGAATAAAGAATTAACTTTAGCTTTTGATGTTTGTTGTTGCTGGCTTTACTTGCCTATTCCGCTCCATGAAAGATAGTTTTATTCGTAATACTTAGTATTCGAAAATGAGGATGGAAAGAGAAAATAGCGCTGCCACTCCAGAGGTTTGGGCAGTGTATATCTTTTAGACGAAGTGGGATTTGTGGAGTGTATATCTATTCTAAACCTCACTATATGTGGGTCACAAATATTATTATGACAAAGATTGACGAGACAAGAAATTGCATGGGCTAGTTTGTAAAATGAGATTGCTTTTCTTTAGTTGACATGGAGGTAAGAATCACATTGAAATATCTGGATATTTTTTTTTGCTTATGCATGAGCAACCACCATTTAGTTCGCAATTGGCTTTTGGTAACCCAAAGAATAAATCCCTTGTCCCGTGCGAGTTCACGAAGGAAACGACAACCCAAAAGTCCAGTCATATACACATTGCTAAGACAAAACGGAGGACTACAAATGAGCATCTTTTTGCTGTTTACATAATTGTAGGATAAAGGAAATTGACATCTTTAGGTATTAAGTGATGTACTTATCACATCGCAGTTATACTATTTCATATAATCTTTTGAGTAGATACATATCAAGTCTCATAGACGCCATTCTGTGATTCCCCACATTCCTGCTGAGGGAGAGTGAACGGAATAAGATTGTCCAAAGACCGTAAGCTTAAAGCCATCCTAGACTTACAAGTTTTGTTTGAAGATGCCTTATGGGTCAGCTTAATGCAATTCTTTATGGATGAATCTAGCTTGTATAGATATCCAAATATATGAATGTTTAGAGAGATGTATAGTTTTAATTTGTGGTTTGTTGTTAGAGTTAAATGGGATGGGACTGGATTGTTCTTTTCCACAATATAGTTTTCTCTTAAAGTTATAAGCCTTGGCCAAGATTTAATGGGGGAAGAAATGTGATGGCACTAACATAAGAAGAGATAAGAGGATCTGAGAAGGATGATAACTATAACCTGGCTGGCATTCAGGAAAGGATGATTTTACCATTCCAGACAGCAGATAAAACAAATGGTGCAGTTAATTTGGCATGGTTGAATATTTTATATGCTTGTTGTATAACTTTATGAACTTTGGTGTAAGTTGTTTTAACTGTCAACCTTCTTTGTGCTTTTTAATTACAAATAAAGCTGAAGTAGATTGTACGAGCATTTTTTTGAGACAAATGGTTTGACAAGTTGAGTGAAGATAAACTCTTGAAGATGTAATTAGTATTCCACTTTGTGAGCTATTCAGCTGGCGAAGGTGATCGACATTATAGTATCATGTTCACTTATATATGTCTTAACTCCTCTGTTTGTTCCATGTGCTGTACATCTCAAACTTACGACTGATAGTCGTCGTTGCATTTTGTATTCCAGAGTTTGAAATACAGGTCTGCTTGTCTGTACTTTTTTGGTGGAGTTTTCTTCCCTACTGTCCTTTGTAGCTGGTAGCAGTATGTAGTTTTGGAGCCGCCAAAGCAACATTAAAACAAAAGAAGAATAAAAGCAAGACGATGTTCCTATCAATGCATAGAAACATTTATAAACAGTGATGTTTCTTTTCAGGCTTTTGATGATGCCATTGCCGAGCTGGATACACTGGGTGAGGAATCTTACAAGGACAGTACATTGATTATGCAGCTTCTCCGAGACAATCTTACACTTTGGACGTCTGATACCACGGTCTCTCTCTCTCTCTCTCTCTCTCTCTCTCTCTCTCTCTCTCTCAGAAATACATACCCACCAATGCAGATGCGCCCACCCACAAACATTACCGTGCACACGAGAAAAAGTTTTTGGGAAGTGCATGACCTTTGTACATGTACATCCAGGAAATGGACTAGCTTGATTGCTAAATGCCGCTCCCTCCATTTCAATTTATGTGACACATTTTGCTTCTTGAGATTCAAACTTTTTGAAGTTTGATCAACATTTTAACATTTTCTTAATCATATTGACATGAGCAGAATTGCAACTTATAGTACTTCTTGTATAATTTTTTATATCTAAATTTTAATTTTAAAATATTGAATTGAACTAATCCAATACTGTTTGTTATTGCTTTGACCATTGCCATTCTGACACTGCAATGGTTTTTCTGTTGTTAAATGATGTGATTCCAGGATGATGCCGGGGATGAGATCAAGGAAGCTTCAAAACGCGAGTCAGGCGACGGAGAGCAGTAACGACATAGCATCATAGTCGCCTATATTTGATTTTAATATAGGACTACTTTGTGAAAGCTAGACTGGATATGGATATTTCAATGATTCTTCGTATCACTGCTGAAATGGTTTGATATAAAAACATGTTTTAGTACGAGGTGAAATTTAGTCATGCCATTGATGTATTGGCTTATATTTCTAGTTTCAATTGCATATGTTGTTGACTGTTGAGCTTTGTATTTTCAAGTCATTCAATAATTCAATAGTTCCCAAATCAATTATCTTGCAACCTCCTCGACTGCGCTACCTTTCTTGAACCCCAGGGCATTGGATGTCGGTCGATGTTAAAAATTCTGAATTGTATTTTCCTTTTATTTATTTTTTTCATTTTGATTTGGATGCAATTCCTTGAATGGAATGCCAGCTTCTCTTATGAATGGTCTTCGTACTTATTATCTCATGAACTGTTTGGAATACCAGACAAGAAGAGTTTAAAAGACATTCTTGAAGGAAGACCTGTTCAGTGAAAAAGGTCACCTTGCATACATTTATGTAACTTAACTGATTTGAACTACTTTCGAAATGCTACATTCTGGTTGTAACCTCCATCAGTTTTACATACAAATGCCGTGTATGATTCTTCCATTCTGAACTCCATTATGTGGTGCATGACCTCATATCTAGCAACAAACACTTCCCTAGTTGTTACTGTTACGGTTTTGCCCGGAATTTCCAATCTATTAAATCTAAAAAGACTTCTAAAAGGATTAAATCTCCTTCATATGTCTTTATCATTTTCTTGAGAGAAAAGTTTGTACTTCTATAAATTGAGGCTTCCTTCTCAAACAACAATAACAACCTCCACAAAGTAGTTTTTACGAGAATCATGTTTAGGGGAGATTATTCTGTCAAAAAATTTATACTCTTTTTATATTAGTGATAGATCATATGTAGGTCGATTGACCAAACCATAATAAATTATTATGCCTAGTTTAGTATATTTTTCTTTTATATTCTGATTTATTGTCTATCAATCTTTGTATTGTTAGTTTCCGCATGCACCATGTTATTTCGATCCCAACAGTAACACCTAAGTAAGGGCGGATCCAAAGCATTATGTATGGGTTCACTGGAACCTTAGTAGTTTTTGCTCATACCTTGTATATATATTAAGAAATTTATTAAATATCTATAAAAATTAAACTGTGAACCCAATTGTTATTATCTATATCTATCTATCTATCTATCTATCTATATCTATATTATTATAAAAGCACGAATAATTTACGCTAAATATTGAACGACTAAAATATCCTTGAAACATTGATCGACTTTTATAACCTTATTTAGTTGTATAATTTAAGGATATAATTGTAAATTACCTGAGACTGGTTTTTCTTTCCATTTAAATTACGCATACATTAACGCTACATAGTTGACTTTGGGTCAAATTCTACACGCCTACTTTTTGGCCGATTTGATTTCTTTAGCTCAACTTTTTTTTTTTAAGCCTTTTCCTTGCCGATTTGGTTTCTTTAGCTCAACTTTTTTTTTAAGCCTTTTCCTTGCCGATTTGGTTTACGATTTGATTTCTTTAGCTCAACCCATTTTTGAAGCCTTTTCCTTTTTTTACAAGAATATTTTTCTTTATTTATCTTCTCCCATAGAATTCAGCCTACTCACCGCCAAAATTTTTCCTTTAGCCTTTTCCTTTTTTGACAACAATATTTTTCCTTATTTAATCTTCTCCCATAGAATTCAGCTTAATTGCACGAGTCCATATAGTAAAAGAATACGCCAATTACTCCAATAAAAGATGATATTGTTCCACATTGTTCATTGTTCTCTAAAGGTTTTGGTGTTGAACGAAGTAATTTTCTCCAAAGGTATTATTAGTTCTCTTTATTGTTCCCGTTTTTCGTACTTGAGTAAGTTCCCGTTTTTCGTAATTGAGTAATGCTTTAGGGTCATGTATATGAACTAGAGAGAAAAACAATGACATCTTAACTTTTATTGTAATTGTTTTTTGTGTTGCACTTCTTTGTTTTTCGGCGTAGTTTTTAGTTTTACATATCAAAGTTTTTTACATTGAAGTAGTATTATGTTTAAATTGTATAGCTTTAGAGATTAATGGTTTATGTTATTTCAACTAATGTTAGTGTAACAATATTAATTTTCAGCTATTACATAATATTTTGCAGCTTTTACTTGTATATTGCAGGTATTTCGCGCTGTGTAATGGAAACGGATTTGGAAAAACAATGTGTCCCAATAAATAACCTTAAACTTTATGATGTTGAATGGTAATTAAGGTATTGGTTATTCGAAGAGGACCAATAATAAAATATAAGAACGATAAAGGAAAGGGTTTGCGTTGGCGTTTAACATTTGTTGACGAAGAGGTAGGCTTATCTTGTATATTTATTTTGATATAATTTATTACTTATTTGTGTTATTTTTAATTAATCTAAAATTATTTTTATATTAATTTATAGGGGACAAAGATCCAGGCATTATTCAGATGGATAAATTGAATACACTCGAATGTATTCGTGTGAATTTTATAATCCATACTATATCAAACTCTGCTCAAGTATTACGCTTGCAGGATTTTTTCTGACAATTATGCTGGAGAATGATGAAAAAGAAAAGTTTGACAAAGTAATTGTATCCTTGTAGATCATATGAGTTCTTGGCCTAATAAAGTGAGTAATAGTTCTGATAAAAACTGTGAAATAATCGATTGAGTTTATACAAGATGATGCTACATGCCTTATGATATGCTTTAATCTTTTATTCAAAAAGTAATTTTTTCTGAAAGGTTTTCTATGTAGCTTTTTTTCTCTTATTCTTTAATTTCTATTCAAGGAGATAAAAATATATTCAAGATTATGTCAAATAGCTTCTGTCTATGTGATAGTCCTCTTATGGAGCCGTGGACATACTTACATTACAAATTTATCTAAAGAATTCAAGTCAAAGTTTAAGATAAAAGTTAAGGAGACCTAGCTACCACATTTATGAATCACGCCGGTTAAAGAACTCCAGTTTGTTTTGAGTCTCCTAAGCTGAAACTGTTAAACCAGCTCAAGGTCGAGCATCCATGGCGGTTTACAAGTGAGAGAAAGCGGAATATTCTAGAACAGTAGAGAGAGAGGAAAAATAGAGAAAGTGAAATCTGAAAATGATTACTAAAACTCAAATTATGACAAGTACTGTAGCATACATATATACATCAAAATGAATTTCTAATCTACGTCTAATCTAACCACTTTACAGATATAGCCACTATACAATTTACATAATTAACCACTAATAATCTCAATACCCCCCCCCCCCTCAAGTTGGTGGTGTGGAAAACACTGCCAACTTGTGTAGAGCAGCTGAATGTCGAACTCCTGTCAGTGCCTTTGTTAGAACATCAACTAGTTGATTTGTTGTTCCCACATGATGTAATGAGATCAGCCCTTCCTGCAGCTTATGTCGTACAAAGTGACAGTCAACTTCTATATGTTTAGTTCTCTCATGAAATACAGGGTTCCTGGCTATGTGTATAGCTGATTGGCTGTCACAAAACACAGCAATTGGCTTGGGAGATGGTACTGAAAGTTCTTCAAACAATCGACTGAGCCATACCAATTCTCCCACTACCTTTCTTAAGGCTCTATACTCTGCTTCTGCTGAGGAGAGGGAGATAGTGTCTTGTTTCTTTGATTTCCAACTTATTGGACTGTTTCCCATCAACACAAGGTAGCCAGTTACAGATTTTCTGGAATCTGGGCATGCTGCCCAATCTGAGTCACAATATGCCTTGATTGTGTAATCTTGATCTTTAGATAAGAAAATGCCTAAGGTGGGATCCTTCTTCAGGTATCTAAGTAGATAAAAAGCTGCTGTCAAGTGTAGTTTCCTGGGATCATCCATGAACTGGCTTAAGTGTTGCACACTATAAGCTATGTCCAATCTAGTGTTGGTGAGGAAATTGAACTTTCCTATCAGCTTCCTATAGTAAGTAGGATCTGTTAATTTTTTCCCTTCTTTGGCTTTGAGCTTCATAGTAGGATCCAATGGAGAACTAAAACTACTATAGTCTGCACAGTGATACTCTTTTAACAAGTCAAGAGTGAATTTTCTTTGGGAGACTATGACACCATCATCTTTGTAGAGGATTTCCAAACCCAAGAAATAATGTAGTTTCCCCAAATCTTTTATTTTGAAATTATTGTTCAAGAATGTTTTCAGGTCTGTAATTTCCTCAGTGTCAGTTCCTGTAACTACAATATCATCAACATACACTGCTATGTATACAATGGACTCTCCAGTTTGCTTACTAAACAAGGAATAGTCATACATTGAATGCCTACTAGCCCCTTGAGCATAGGGGCTTCATTTAGTTTGGTCATACCACTGCCTACTTGCCTGCTTCGAGGCCATAGAGGGATTTGTTAAGTTTACAAACTAAGTTTGGGTTGTCAACTGCCAGCCCCTGTGGTACCTCACAAGTCTATATGTAGGACTTGGAATATTTTTGTGGAAGCATGTGTTTTATGGGGAAAAGGCAATCTGCCTTGTCTAGACATTGGACAAATAGAGCAAAGAAAAGGCTGCTTTGGTGAAAAAGAAACTGGGATAGAGGTAATCCCTCTCATTTTGACAAAGGGTACATGCCCAAGTCTATTGTGCCACAAAAGATTAGGATCAGAAAATTCTACAGAAGATTTCAAACTAACATTTGTATTACTCAAGCATGAAGTATTTACATTTGGAGGAAAAGAGACACACTTATTTGTGGACAGTGAGTTATGAACATGTGAACTAGTATGACAATGTGAGTTGTGTGTGCAAAAGGAACTATTGATAAAGGAACCTGAATATTGGTTTCTCAGACACTTTGGGCAAAGAAGATATAGTCCATCACAAGCTTTACCAATCTCCAGAGGCCTCTTCATT